TTAATTTAGGGACCGAAACACCTGGCAGAGAGCGCGCATAAGCGATCACGGCCGTTTGCATGGAGTTGTCACTTCTTGTTCAGAGGTGTTCTGTGATCTGAAGCAATAGATAAATAAGTCTGTGGTATCTTTTCCTCTAGTTATCTATATTTTTTAGCACAACTTATTCTATGAACAACAAACTATGAAACAATCGCAAGCTCACTAGCAAAATCGAGTCCAACACGTGTTCTGCAAGCAGTAAAATGCAATGCAGCAGAATTCTTGTTATATGGCAACTGCTGATCATACATAAAGACGTGCTGCTGATTACAGTGATGATTAACGACAGCCACATGGCGAGTTTAATTTTTCTTCCCGCCACCAACGCGCCTCTTGCATTTGTTTACCGAACTAATTTTGTGGTCCTGCGCTCTTTGCATTACTGATTAAGTGTACATTTATTGCAGGGTAATCGGAGCGGCGACTCAATGTGCTCTTGCCACGTCCCAACTGGTGGCTTGTGCCAAAGTGGTGGCCCCCACAATCCAGTCGCCTGCCTGCCAAGAGCAGCTTACAGGGGCGGTGCGTGAGGTGGCCAAAGCCGTCGAGAATCTGGTGGGAATCTGCAACGAAGCCACGCCCAACGACGACTTGAACAAGCAACTGAAAGAGGCTGCGGCTGAAGTGTCCCGGTCCCTGACAGACCTGCTGGGCCACATCAAGTTGGCGTCCCGCGAACGCGCCAAGGCAACCGTCCAAGAACACAGTGTGGAAGAGATCTACACGGCCACCGACAAGATATCGGCTGCAACCGGCGATGCAAACGAAATGGTATTCCGCGCCATGCCAAAGGCTCCTGGGTTGTACCGTTTGATTTCTAGGTGCGGCAGGCTAGAAGATTGGGCAACGCAACTGCCCAGCTGATTCAGAGCATCAAGGGCGAGGCGGAACGGCTGCCGACCAACACCGACATTCAACGCCGACTATTGGCTGCAGCCAAAACTCTGGCCGATGCCACTGCTCGCATGGTAAGTCGCAGAAAAGGCGATTTTAGCGGGTTTTAACGCGAAAAACCTCAAGGTTGAGGCAGCGAGGCAATGCACCGAGCACCCGCACGACATTCGCTGTCAGGACCAACTGAGAAGAACCGCTGAAGATCTGCGCGATGTCACAGTGGTGGCAGCCACCACTCCGGCCTTAAGAGCCAAACTGGTCGATAGAGTCCAGGTACGTTTATCCACTTTTTTAAATAGGGTTTTTACCAACCCGGTTGCTTTCAGGCGTGTGCGCGCAAGGCCATTTCGTCCGCCACACAGTGCATTACAGCCGCGCAAGCCAGTCATCAGTACAATCCAAACGGGGCGACCAGAGAGGCCCTGATTCAAGACACCAAGGATATGTCGGAACAGATTCCTCCGTTGGTCGACTCTATCAAGGGCATCGGCAGCAACCCTGACGACACCAATGCCCAGAGCGAGCTGATGTATGTGGCCGAAGTATTTTTGCACGTAAGTCTTGAGCAGTTTCAAACTCTAACCGAAAGTAACGTCGGGAATATTACCGACAGCCTGCAACCCACTTCGTGCAGACTGCGCAGACGGTTTTACCAACGTTGACGGAACAGTCCATCACTGAGCAGTTGTCGCTCACCAGCCAGCAGCTCAACTCGGACTTGAGCGAGCTGAGGAGCGCTCTAAGTCGAGCTAGGCCGGCCTGCCAAGGTAACTTGCGCTCTAATTATGCCCGGTTTCCGAACTCCAACATATCGGTTACATAAGCTTATGAGTCTCATAAGCTACCAAAATCACGTCTGTTGGGTTTCTCAACGTCTGTTTAAAGCTTATTGGTTCCATAAGTTATCGAATAGATATCTACTCGAAGATGGATGGATATCGGCTTCGTAACGTCTGGCGCAAGCGTGTAGGGTTTGTTTTCATTTTTACAACAGAGCGATTCTAACCTAACATAACCTATTCTTTTTACATAACAGCATTGCATAACAGTTTTGTTTTGTTTAACGTATAAAAATTTATTATCATTATTTAAAATGGATAATTCGAGTTCATCTATGATGAAATTATTGAACTTCTAAGTTATATTGAACGGCCAAGACGGTATCTTGAACGAGAGGACCAAATGAAGAAATATGGATATTCTGAATTTCGCGACAGGTTTCGTTTAACGAAACACTGTTTCAGTGTATTATTGGACCTTATTGAGGACTACCTTAAAACATATACTGTGAGAAGGAATTCATTGTC